TTTACAGGTAGCCCTTGACTGACAACTATTCATTTAGCGACTATTTGAAGTTATAGCAGCGCTGAAAAAAGAGTTGCATTTACAACCATCACAGTATCTGCATGGTTACGTGATAAAAATTTAGGTGCTTGGCAACTGGCATGGATTTTCCATAGTTGTAGTGTCTCAGGGGCTTTTGACAAGCCAAATAAATGTGGGAAACTGAAGTCGCTTGTACCCCTCCCCAACTGTGATTTGAAACTCCTGCAATGCATGGCCTCAAATTTTCCTAAACTACAACTCCCAGCACCCTGCGATTGTCTGAACAGATGAATGACTCAATGAATGTATTCTTGGCTGGTGAATGAATGGTATTTCATTCTTCTAAGAAGTTACCTTCTGATACGCATAGATATACTCAGCAGAAGTCAGAAACAGATCATAACTTATTTTTTTCCTCTTTAGGCCTGGATCTTCACTTTGGCCGTGTTGCTGAGCAGCACCCTCGTCTACAACAGTATTGGGACCATTGATCAGATTGCCCTGGACAAGCTTCAGTATCCTTCTAAAGAATAGCTTTGTTGCGAGCGGGTGGCAAGTGGGCGGCAGCTCTGGGACAAGGCCGGAGCTGGGGAATGGTGTATTCCCCAACCTGGCCAAGGTGGGTGGCAGCTTCGGGACCTCCGGGAATGGCACATCCCTGGGACCCCACCCCTGACCCCAGGTGAAGAGCGAGTGGGCAGCATGCTTGCTTACCTTTGGTGAGCTGAACAGAGATGGTGAGGCACAGAGGTGAGAGGCGAGGAGTTTAGCTGGGCCACGTGGCCAACCGAAGGCAACATATATAGGGCTGGGATGGGTGGGGCAAGTGGCGGGCGGGCAGGTGAGGCAAGCAGGTGGGTGGATGGGTGAGCAAGCAAGTAATGAGCGAGGAGGGTGAGTGAGCAGCAACTGAGCAACCAGGCAGGATGCGGGGCCAGCCAGCAGTCACTACAAGTTTGGTGACCCAGGCCAAATTTCCCCTACCAGTTGATGCGAACCAGTGTGAACCGGAGCGAACCAGCTGAATACTACCTCTGTCTTGTCTACATAATTTCCAAAATCATCCACTGTGTTTTCCCACATGCTAAGCTTGATTAGATTGAATGTTGACTGGCTTACATTTTGGAGTATTGTGCAGACACAGAAATGGATTGAGGGAAGGAATAGGTGAAGTCTGTTATTAGAACCCCATTGTTCATCAACAACAATAATTTTGTTTTATCTTATGGAAGGTGATAAGAAATTAAGAAAGTTAAGAAACAAGGTAAAAGATTAAGAAAAATGAATATAGAGTAAGAAAAAGAGAAATGGAAGAGAGAGAAAATGTCAGTTATTTTGTTTTAAATAATTCAATAAATTCAAAATGGTTTCTCGCTCATCAATCAATCCCATCTTTATAGCATCTAAAATTAATCAGGCACTTTTGGATTCTTTCAGAAATCTTTCAGTAGCAGTGAGACATATGGCACTTCATCTTCTTAGCAGTAGAGAAAAGGGAGAAATCTACTGGTAACCTAAGCCATATGTTAATTATATTATATCTATAAACAATATATTTTAATAAATAATGATTAGAGAGAAACTAGTCTTTTATGTTGTGCTGCATCATCTGTAGGATTAATACTCAATAGTCAATATTAAGAAAAGAAGTTTGGCAAATAAATAAAAATACTGAAACTATCATTTCAAATAAATAGTTTTTAGGGACCAATCAAGTCATATACTTCTCCTTACTTGATTATATCTGGCTTTATGGTAGAGACAGAACTGAGCTTTTCACAGATTTTTTTTTTAATGTCAGCCTTATCAGGTAGACCAGAGTAAGAATCAGACACTACTTTTATTAAAACAGCTAGAGTTACATCTTGACAATCTGATTGTGCTTCTATTGCTCCCTCATTTTTCTTCTCAAGAATTGAGTTGGGAGCTATCCAAGGTATTTTTGCAGTCTCCTTTACTGGCCTGGTCAAAGTTTCATTTATTTGACGCTTCTTCTCTCCATCCTTCAAGACCATCCTCTTTAATCACTGTACAAGTATATTGTTTGATTCCTAAACTGGGCCAACAGTTTTGTGACGGAGCTGTCTAAACATATCAAGGCCAAGTCTTCCTCCACTCCTGGAGATACAGATTCTGAATTTGTTTGCTTCTTCCCAAACTTTGTTTGGTCTGTGCGAGATTTCCCACCGCAGCTGCAACGGGATGGGAAATCCATCACAGAGGATGAATATCTCGAACATGCTCTGAAATTAAAAGAAGGTACTGATGACAAATTCAGTGTGAAGATATATGTGGTCATTTGAATAAGGAATAGGAGCCACCGGGACTAAACTGTTTAGGGAGGATAGACCTCAAGAAGAAAATGAGACACCAAAGGTCTTTGGCCTAGAATGAAGCACCAGACTAGAAATCAGTAAATGGTAGGTTGCATTAATGCCTTAGGTATGAAAGTCATCTGGGTGCTTTGGGCCAATTACTGGACATCCTGATAATAGAAAGCAATTATATTAAGAATTCTCTGCTGGAATGGCTGAGAATTTGCCATTCTACCTGATTACAGGACATTGTAAAATAAGACTCAGCAGATATAATAAGAATAATTGAATCTAATAAATAGACAACAAAATACCCAGTAGGAATCTGTTTTCCTTAGGAAATCCATTTCAAGGTAAGTAGTCATGGCACTGAAATATAAACTGATATAAAAATATAAACAACTTCCTCAGTTGTTCCCTGACCACATTATTTGTTGGAAAACAAGCAATGGTATTATTTCTTCAATGCTCTGTTTTTCCAATTAATCTAAATCAGGGTTGGAATTTCAGAAGGCACCACATGGAATTTCGGATTGCAACTTACATATACTTTGATGGCTGAGTTGACACTTTGAAAGATTAAATCACCCTTAATTTGTACATTGCTTTTCCACAAAGTCCTTCTGGGCGAATCACAGTGCAGTGTGTTAAATAGAGATTATACAAAATCCCTGATTTGGAAACAAGAAAAACTCACATTATAGATTTGTGGCCTCTATAAGAGAGGAAGGGTGGCCAAAGTAAGAGGATATACTTGTACTTGGTAAGGATAACAATTAAACAGTGCTAATTAATAGGGATGGGGACTTTCCCCAGTGAAATGCCCACTGGCAGATGCAATTCAGATTTACTTGCAAGATGGAAATGTTGCTTTCTAGGTGACAGCAAGAAGGAGCAGGCATTCAATTTGCCACGGAAATGCATCCGACTGTTCTTCCCTACCCGGAAGTGCTTCATCTTTTATTGCCCTACTACACCTGAGAACTTATGCAATGTGGAACAGATGTCGGATGATCAGCTGCACAAAGGTTTTGTGGAACAAGCAAAGACATTCTGTCATTATATCTATGAAACATCTCAAGAAAAGACTCTTCCAGGAGGGCACATTGTCACTGGCAACTGTGAGTCCTTCTAGCTCTATTATAATTATGCTTGGTTGCATACTGAGCCAGATGTTTACGTGGATTTGGCATTTTTGTCCACCTATCAAGTCCTCAAGGATCTGGGATAGGCAGATGTGCATGTTTGATAACATTAAAGATATCGTCTTGGGTTGTACGCTGGTCCGAGTAAAACTGCTATTTGCAATTGTTTGATGGGGATTTTTTCAATGTTGATAGTGTTGAAGT